GAGAAAAGAGTGAGAAAGGCAGCAAACATTATTCATACTAGTAACTACAGTTTTGAAAGACGAAATACAAGAAAGAAGACATAAAGGAAGTTTCATCTTCAACAAGCGAGAATAGAGTGAGAGATATAATGAATGGTAATCCATTCAATACGAGTAGCAGGAATGAGAGTGCCTGTGGCAATTTGGAGTCATTTGGTTCATTTTCATCGCTTTTGAAGAATACAACTCCAACATRGATGGCCGTTTTCTCTACTTTAGTATCCATTGGTATTTTGGGCAACACTTTGGTCGTTATTTTGATCCTAAGGAACAAGACTTTGAGAAGAAATATTAATTATTACATCCTCAACATGGCCGCCTCTGATGGAGCGTTCTTGTTATTTCTGATGCTAAGAAAACTGACAGACTTTGGTGTTTTTCGTTTATATGAACAACCAGTAAACCCAATCCTTGGAAACATCATCTGCCGGCTCTCATTCTTCCTCAACTCCTGCCAACACGTCTCTCTATTAACACTGTTTATCATGAGTGTAAACAGGTTTCATGCTGTCTCAAAGCCTCTTCTCACAACACCAACAACAGCCAAGTTTTGTATCTTTCTCATCATCGTCACATGGGTCTTGCCAGCGCTGCTTTATCTCAACCAGCTGGCATTAGAAGCCTATAAGTGGGCAGGACCCTTCATTGGGATGCTTTGCCCAAGCGTTCTTTCCTTGGAGACTCTAAATTTCTTCTACTGGATCCAGATGGTCTGTCCGATGTCAATATTCATAGTTATTTTGGTACTGAATATAAACATTATTCGTAAACTTAGAAAGTCAAAGATTGCTGTATCTCTTCCAACAGCACAGGAACAAATACGCGGTAGAAGGGTTGCAAATGCAATGAAAATGATCCTATGTTCTCTTACTCTCTATATCGTTATGTGGTCTCCGCATCACATAGAAAACTTCATGTTTCATGTTGTTTCTCCATCGATCTACGAACCTGATTTAGATTGGTCCCTGTTTAACATTTTCTACCTTTGTTTGGTCCTTAATTCCACTCTCAGTCCTTTCATATATTTCGTTTTTATTAAAGAATTTAGAAGGGTTTTGAGGAAAACTCTGCCGCACAGGGGGACGAGCGTCAACACAGTTCCAACATGACTCTAAATGTTGATGGCGCACGCGTATTAGCTGATACTTGTCTTCGAAGTCATTGAAAAATAAACCACAAAAAAAAACAAAAACAAAAACAAAAACAAAAA